TTTTTTGTTAACTTCGGTTCCTACTCCTAAATCCTAATTCTTAATTTTCTAATTAATTATTTGATAGGGATCGTTACTTTATTAGAGATTGGTTCTTAGCTCCTCAGTTAAAGATCACAGGACCGAAAATTAGGTGAGTTAGATGGTACGTCTAATTCCCAAGCATTGACGCGTGATCTGCAATTTATATATGCTACGTATAAATTCAATTTTATTTTGTTCATCTTCTTTATCTTGTGTTTTAATAATACTGATTTGAGTCATCATGGGGAAACGTCAGTCGGGTGCCTATAAGCGCAAGAAAAAAGCAAAAGAAGAAAAATTAATTAATAAATCTCATAAAGGTCGTATGGACAAATTTGTTAAAAAAAGCACCGCAAAAGTGTCATCTGGTAATCACTTTATTGATCCTTCTACCCTTGCACTTGCAATTGTTCCTTACAACGATTCTAGAGATAGTCAGACAGAGACAAATAATATGGACGTAGAGGAAGATAATATTGATGTTAACTAGAATAGTTCACCTCGTGAGGATGTTGATGATTCTTTTCGGTCTGATATATTTAATCCAAGAAACTGGGATTCTCTTAATTCTAAACAGATTGATATCTTAGCACAGAAGGGTCCAAAAACAAACAAGTCAGTTAAAGGTCCCAAATATAGATATCGTAAAAGGTTTAGTTCAGTATTCTATACTAGAATCCTATCAAATGGAGAGTATCGTGATAGAGACTGGCTTGTCTATTCTGAACAACTTGATAGAGTCTTTTGCTTTGGTTGTAAATTATTTACAAAAGGTCATCGGAAAGGTCAGTTGGCAAATGAGGGCTGTAATGATTGGTCACATATGACCAATAGACTAAAATATCACGAGACAAGTGTGGATCATGTTTCGAGTATGACTAATTGGTATGAGTTGCGTAGTAGATTCGAGAAACATCAAACTATTGATAAAGCTGCAAAACGACACCTTGAGAAAGAGAAGGACCATTGAAGAAAGGTATTATTCAGAATTTGTTTGCATTGTAATATTTCTTGCAAAGCATAATCTAGCATTCCGTGGTACTAATGGCAAGCTGTATGAAGATAGCAATGGTAATTTCTTGGGTTTGGTAGAGATGTTGGCTGAATTTGACCCCGTTATTCAGGAGCATGTTCATCGTATTACAAATCAAGAAACTCATGCTCATTATCTTGATCATAAGATTCATAATGAATTGCTACACTTGCTTGCTTCTTCTATTAGGTCTGGAATTATCAAGAAAATAAAGAGCTCAAAGTATTTCTCTGTCATACTTGATTGTACCCCTGATGCAAGTCACCAAGAGCAAATGTCTTTAATTATACACTAGTAGAAAAACACCTATTAGACCCGGTTCGTAAGGGCCTTTAGTCCCGGTTCATGAACCGGGACTAATGGGTCGTTACTAATACCTCCCTCCTTTAGTCCCGGTTCAAACACGAACCGGGACATATGGTCCTCCACGTGGCCGGTGCGCCGAGCCCAGGCAGGGGGGACTTTGGTACCGGTTGGTGGCACCAACCGGGACCAAAAGGCATCCACGCGTCAGCATTCCAGTGGCTGGGGTTTTTGTTTTTTTAAGGGGGGGTTTGGGGGTTTTGGGGGGTTAATTTAGGTGTTTCATATATTGTGTTAGCTAGCTAATTAATAGAGAGAAGTGTCCTCTCTTATGTCCGTTCTTGGTCGACGCTATGTACTATATACATATAGCCCTCGACACGCTAGCTAGTAAGAAAATGAAGGGAACCATTGAGTACAGAAGTTCGTCATGCATACCGAGAGAAATGATCGATCGACCTCTCCTTCTCCGAGAGATTGGTCGAACAACAAGTTTTCGTATCATGTATCCGACGCTACTGGCTACATACATGTACAATATGTAAGATCTCTCAATTACAGTCCCCTAGCAATTGAAATCAACTTTCGCATGGTATTCTTCGGCTTTGTTGATGACGTGGTCAAGAAAGAATCCCGCCAATTCCTCTTGAATTGCTTTCATGCGATCTGGTTCTAGGAGTTCATTCCGCATCTGCCACATCTAATTTGAAGAAGGGGGTTAATTAATACATATATATGAATGAAACTAAACAGAAATGATGGTGTAATAAAATGAAATTCTGAATATTATTGCTTACGCACTTCATATTGTCTTTGAGAGTAGCCCCGTTTGTTTTTCAAAGTCGCGGTGTGGATGAACTCGCACATGTAGTATCTACAGAAATCATTCCCTTATTCCTGCAACAAGCACTTTACGAGAAATAGAGGTCAATCAAACTGATAATGAAGCATTATAAATGGCATTGATGAAAGTATAGCTATAGAATCAACGGAAGATGCGCGTAACTAGCTAGCCAGTAGTACTTACTTTCGGGTATGTATATCGCAGCTCCTTCGGCAGTCCCGGAGCTTTAGCAATGAACTGTTTCCAAACCCTGCAAGACAAAGAAAATAATTATTATTACTTGAGATATCAGGAAATGAACAAAAAGTTGCCGATATGTTACGATAATGATCGATTGAACTTACTTGCTGAGCATTTCAGTCATGTCCGCATAGGTTTTGGGATCTTTCCGTCTCGAGTCTAGGACGGTTACTAGTCGACGCTCAAGCTTAATCTCCAGAAGAATATAGTGGTACCTGCGCACGCATGCATAACTTATCAATTACATTACTATAACCTCGCTCGAGTAATAAGGGAAACCGAATATGCACACGACAGTAACCTCGCTCGCGTGCATTATATATAATTAAGTGTGTCAAAAATCATTACAGAACATCATGAATAGATAATTAAGTGACCAAATTAATAGAAGTTTATTATCACATTAAAACCAAAGTACATACATAGTTCTCATCTAACAACATAAAGCTCCGCAGAGCATCTAAATTAATTAAACCATACACTGAAACTATGTAAAACATTTCAATGCGAAAACAAATGCGATCATAATCGCAACCAATGTAACAACTAATCCAACGGCATAATGATACCAAGCCTCGGTATGAATGGCATATTTTCTAATCTTTCTAATCTTCAAGCGCATTGCATCCATCTTGATCTTGTGATCATCGACGACATCCGGAACATGCAACTCCAATATCATCTTCTCCTCCTCAATTTTTCTAATTTTTTCCTTCAAGAAATTGTTTTCTTCTTCAACTAAATTTAACCTCTCGACAATAGGGTCGGTTGGAATTTCTGGTTCAACAACCTCCTAGATAAATAAAATCTATGTCACGTTGGTCGGCATAATTGTCATAAACAATAAATGAACCAATAGTTATGAAAAGTTAATATACCACGTCCGAATCATAGATTGGACGAGGGCCGACGGGGGCGGATACCAAAACCATCGCACTATATAAGATGCAATAATAAAAGTAAGAAAATTATACAAGTATCTATATAAACATAAAAGTAAGAATTTTGTTTCCTTTCAGAAAGAAGATAAGAACAAGAGGCTCACCACGGTGGTGCCGGCGACGAGATCGGCGTGGGCGATCGACGGCGGTGAAGACGGGGACGGGACGTGACGGACCGCTAAACCTAGACAAATATTGAGGAAAATGGAGCTTGGAGGTCGAGCTTGGAGAGGAGAAAGCTTAAGTAGTGTGACTCAGGCATTCCATCAAACACCTCGTGTGCATAGGAGGTGAGCTAGAGCACCACAAAGCTCTCCCCTCGCCGGCCATGAAAAACAGAGCAGTGGGAGTGCTCTGCTCGCGGGTGAGGGGTATATATAGGCAATTAATTGGTCCCGGTTCGTGGCAAGAACCGGGACTAAAGGGTAGCCTTTGGTCCCGGTTCAAGCCACCAACCGGGACCAATGGTGGTGGGCCAGGAGCGAGGACCATTGGTCCCGGTTCGTCCCACCAACCGGGACCAATAGGTCCAGTCGAACCGGGACCAATGGCCCACGTGGCCCGGCCGGCCCCCGGGGCTCACGAACCAGGTCCAATGCCCCCATTGGTTCCGGTTCTGGATTGAACCGAGACTAATGGGCTGACCTAGCCTGGACCATTGCCCCCTTTTCTACTAGTGATAAGATATGTGGATTCATCTTCAAGTCAAGTTTGCATAGAAGAGTCCTTTCTAGGATTTCTAGATGTAAATGATACAACCGGCCAAGGACTTTTTCGATGTGCTAGAGAAGGAGCTAAAACTTCTTGATCTTGATATAAATGATGTGCGAGGACAAGGTTATGATAATGGATCAAATATGAAAGGAACACATCAAGGGGTACAAATGAAACTTTTGGATGTAAATCCTAGAGCTTTTTATTCGTGTTGAAAGTGTTAAAGCTATCAGATTTCAATGTTCAGACATTCGGGAGGCTCTACTTCAGGTAACCAATATGTTCATATTAATAGTGATGTAATTCCTTTAGGCTTTGGCTGCATCCAACCATAACATTTACGAACTTTCTTTTAATTTCAGGTATCTAAAACTGAGAGTGATTCAAAGGCAAGCAGTGAGGCTCTAGGTTTGGCAAATAATGAACTTGGAGAGTATGAATTTATCATGGCAATAGTCATTTGGATGAGGTATTGGTTGTTGTTAATTTAGTAGGCAAAAACTTGCAAACAAAGGATATGCTTATTGATGTTGCCATTGAGAAAGTGAAAGGGCTTATTTCTTTCTCCGAGGGGTACAGGGAAACTGGTTTCTTAGAAGCATTGGAGATAGCCAAAGAAATTGCACTTGAGATGGATATTGGTGCAGCATTTCTTAAAAGGAGAGAAACTAAAAGAAAGAAACAGTATGATGAGATCCCAGACGACACAAATATTGCCACACGGTCTGCAGAGGAATCATTTAGAATCAACTATTTTACACCTGTTGTCGATCAAGCAATTTCCTCACTGACAAGGAGATTTGAGCAGCAATTTTTTGGTTTCTTATTTACCTTTGAAACATTACGTTCATTGGATAAGGATAGTTTGAAATCTTCTTGTGTTAATCTTGAGGCTGCCCTTATGAAGGATAAACAATCTGATATTGATGCCAATGATCTGTTTGTTGAGTTGAAGTTCCTTCAAAATTTCATGCCAAAAGAAAATATCGGACCTGTTGAAATTCTGAAATTTTTAAAGCGGCATGACTGTTTTCCCAATGCAAGTATTGCATATAGAGTTCTGTTGACCATTCCTGTGACAGTTGCATCGGCAGAAAGAAGTTTTTCTAAGTTGAAGCTATTAAAGTACTATATGTGTACTACTATGACACAAGAAAGACTCAATGATTTGGCCACAATAGCACTTGAGAGTGAAGTGTTGGAGAAGATTGATTATGAGGATATCATTGAAGATTTCATTTCAAAGAATACTAAAAGAATGAAGTTTTTCAAATAAATAGCAGCCGGGAGTTGAATTGGTATGATTTTTCATACGTCCAATTGTTATGTAAGACATTATATTATATACATTACAAAAACATTTCTGCATGATATATATTATTATATACTCCCTCCGTTCCGAAATAATTGTCGCTGCGGTGTCTTTTCCGACCAGGTGAAAACTAGTGAAATTACAAAACTGCCCCCGATTTGAGATCGCGCTAAGGTCGCCGTCTTTCTCCGTCGCTCCTTCCCTCCGCCAGGACTCCGTCGCTCCTCCCCTTCGCCAGGCGGAGGAGGACTCCATCCCTCCTCCTCCGTCGTCCGCATCTCCGGCGTCCTTCCCCGTCGGCTGCCTGTGCCGCTCCAATCGAGAGCCAGATCCCCTCTTTGGTCGCCCTTCCCCGCCGCAATCGGAAGCTCCCTCGCCGGCGCTCCACTCTAGAGCTCCAGGCGCCACAGCTCCACCTCCACCCAGACCAACGCATGCGCTCCTCCTCTCCACTCCCAGGGACTCCTCTTCTCCAAGTCCGCCCAGGTTGAGGCGAGTTGGAGCTGGGCTCGGTTGCTGCCCAGGCTCCATAAACGGAGGTCACAAACATGATATTTAATCTGAAAACACCAAGCTCAGTAGATAGATGGAACAACAGACTAATCATATTGGTCTCCACTGAAGTCAAATCAACTATGAACTGTTTGATTTTCTTCAGTCCATCTGAACATTTGGACAAAGGAAACCAAATTCAGGGTTATATTAATTAAAGGAAAGTTTTATTTGCTTGTGTGGAGTACTCCATTTAAATGAAAGAGAAGATAAGAGAGTAGTAGGAGAGGTTTATGTGAGCTTGAGGTTTATGTGAGCTCCTCGACCAGCATTATAGCGATTTTGATCCTGAAATTGAAACCATATAAATGGTCTATAGCAGATGCAACAATGTAACACTTTGACTAAAGATAACTAGCTGGTCGATTAACCTTTGGAACAAGTATAGACCAAAGAGCATTTAAAGATAAGAAGAAGAAAAATTGAATTTACCCCCTCATATTCACTGAGCCAACCCTCCTCTTCAGTTGCTGATGTCCATTTTTCCACCTTTTCTAGAATGTCCTTTCTGCTTAGAGCAAGATCTCTTGCTTCTGCAATTCGGTCATCCATATCTGCAAGCAGCTCTGAGAGATCTGCTCTACCTACAAAACAAAGTTTATACATTGTCAAATTCAACAAATAACAGTACTGTGCCATTAGGGAATAAACTAAGAGCAATATGGTAGCAGTAAAATAATCTCATGTCACTGGCATTTCAAAAAATGCAACTATTTGAGTATTATCAGCCTTTACATCTGCAATTAAATATTACCATTTATTTTAGACTATTGACTTTCTGTATGTCAATGATATTTTCCACACTACCGTAGACGATTTTGATGATTAAATCCAGTTGTTTCTGGAGATGTTCTTTTTATCATGATTAATGCTCCACAACTTTTATGCCTTAATGCTTCGAGTCTAGTGGAAATATGCAATTGTGCTGGGTCAATTGCCAAGGGAAATAAGTTGCTATGATGGATATGTTAAAAGTAAAGGAACTGAATGCTCCAAGTTTAAAACTTGTGCCTGATGTGCCAACAAATCCAGAACAGTAGCTCAAAAAACTTAATGTAAGAAACAAAGACAGCTTTTAAACAGAATAGTGCATACAATATTTAGAAACCAACATTTCAAAAGAACAGCAATTTTCTCATCCAACCGCTCATTACTGCATGCTCTTTTAGTTTTCATAAGAGCTTATTCAATTTTTGTGTCAAAAGTGATCTGCCTAAATATTCAAGCTCACACTAGAAGACACAAAATTGAAAGAAAGTTTCAGAACCTACCATTGCATTTGACTAAGAAATTCACAGAATTTTAAGGTGAGACAGAAACGGCAACGTTATGACTAAGGAGCACCAGTTAAATCATGCATCAGGTAGTTCTTAATGGAAACAAAACTGTATAAAGTAACTTCAGTTATGTATCTTCAGGACGAAAGGCATGGTAAAGAAGTGAACTAGCATCAATAAGTTCAGTGAGAATCCGCCACTCATGATCGCTGTCAATATGCATGTGAACACTTCTGTAGATTTCTTCAAGCTGAGTCATTTTCTTTAATACAAGCTCTTTCATTTTGCTAGCTTTCAAATGCTTCAGTCAAATGAAGAGGAGAAGATAAGAGGAGAAGAGAAGATAATTACTCCAAATTCTTTAACTAAAAAAGTCTGCTACTCCTAGTTACTCCTAGGTGCATATAAATTCATTTAGATTTAATTAATGCAGTTGCTACTGCTGCTTTTAAGTTTCAGAAGAAAGGAAGAAGAGAAGAGAAGAGAAGCAATCATTTTTATGCTCTGCTCATCATCTTCAGAATTTGTAAATCAACCCATCACTTGTGTTAATACTAATTTGTACTCCTAGAAAATGTGCTCACTAAATGGAGCAAATGTGCTCACTACATGTGCTCAGAGTAAAGTTTTTCTTTGACAACAGCAAACAATGGATTACACCAGCCTAATTGGTGACTGGAGAAGAGGAGGAGATTAACTGAATCCGACTACTACAAGAACTACTCATCGAACTACTACTCCAGAATTTGCTTCGATCTACTGTAAGTACAGTACTCTAATTTTCTGAATCAGAGTTGCAGGCTGAGTGAATCAGAGTTGCAAGTACAGTACTCTAATTAACTGAATCAGAGTTGCAAGTACAATACTCTAATTTGCTCACCGAGGTACTCCTGCCGCAGCAGTCATAGGAGTCGTCGAGGAGGCCCCAGTTAAGCTCGGCGTCGCCCTCCTACTCCAACTGCTTGCCTCGCCACCGGCTCTAGCTGCTCATCCCGCCACCAGCTGCTCCAGCTGCTCGTCCCGCCACCAGCTGCTCGTCCCATCGCCGCCGCCAGCTAGCTGCTCCTCCACCACATCCGTACCTGTCGACTGGGCCGAGAGGGAACTCCATCTCCCTCTGCTGCTCCGGCGCCGCACCAGGCCTGCCACTCCCCTGCTCCGGCGCCTCTCCGGATCCGCCGCTCGGCCGCGGCTCCACGTCCACGCCTCCGTTGCCCAGATCCCGCTCTGGCGCCGCTACAAATCCACACGTCCGTCGCCTAGAAGCTCGTCGCCGGTGCAAAAAGATTCACTTTTTTGTTGACCTTCAGGGTGTGAGTGGGGGCGGGGTGGTGGGAAGAAAGGGGCGGTGGAACATGCCGGCGACGGGGAGCGGGAGAGACCGACAACGAGAAGAGGAAGAGGGCAGCGACGAGGAGAGGGAGAGGGCGGCGACAGAGGGGAGAGGGATTGGGAGAGCGGCGACGAGGAGGATTGGAGAGCGGCGAGCGAGCGAGCAAGCTAGTGCGAGCGAGTGGGAGGGAAAAACAGGAAACTGAATTTTTTTTTATAACGTGACAGAATTTGTACTGGGGTTGCCCAGCGACAATTATTTCGGATCAGAGGGAGTACATTATAATTGCTGTTTAGGTTTTTTTTTGTGAGATAGGGCCCCATTTTTTAATTTGGCACAGGGCCCAGGATTTTGTCCGCCCGGACCTGGATCAAACCCACTAATTGAAGTGAAAATTTAAGACAACTACTCAAAGGATGTTTCTTTTGACTTTCTGCAAGTGACTATGCTTGAATTGTGTCTGTGTCTAGACTGTATATCCACCAACAACAAGCAACGACGATCGTTGTAGCCCATGTTATTCTTTGGCTGGCCAGGATAATTGTTGTATTGTGTTTTTTTATTATAGTTAGATCCGGGGATCCTATAAAATGCAATCTATAGCTTTTTTGGAGAAAGCGCAAAGCTTCCGTATGATTGCATTGATAGAAATAAAGTAGAAAAGTACGTAGGAAGGTATAACACATAACACAGACGCATACATGAGAAGCCGTGGACATGGGACCCGGAGCAGAGAGACACATGATGCTCAACCCGAACAAACGAAACGTCCGCAGCTAAACCACCAAGCCAGTCTCAAGTAGAGGGGCAAGCCGAACCGGCCAAACAACAAACATCTCCAAATCCAACAATGCAATCTATAGCTATTTTCTCTACGCTTAAGACTGGAGGATTTTTACATAGTACAGTTTGGAATTATGTAAGCTGTCGGATGTGTATTAGCGGCCTGTTAGTCTCTCACAATATTTTCTAAATAGACATTACTGCCATTATTATTATGTCACATTATATATATATATACAATCGTCACCTAACTGATATTCAAGTTGGCCATTATTGATGTTTGTTATGGGATGAAAGCATCTTAATTAGCTTCACTTATTAATTAATCTGTTACCGGCCAAACGAAGCCATGAACCTATCATTTAAAAATACAACGAGAAACCAAAAGAGAAACTGTTGCATGCAAATATATTCATCATTTGAAAATACAACGAGAAACCAAAAGAGAGAAAGGGTGGACATTACGTGTACGGTGATGCACGTTGCATGCATTAGGATTCCTGAGACAAGCTGGAGATCAAGAATGCTCTCGTGAGCGAGTCTTGCTTGCGCAACTTATAAATCAGCCAAGCCGAAGACTTAAGTTTTCACAGGTGTGGCCACATATGATGGATCATTCCTATATTAATCTCTCTGGTTCTGGTCGGAAGTGTGCGGAAGTAGTTGAAAGAAGGTATGATTGAAAAAACACAACGCCATGGAGATCAGAACTCTGCAAGCCTCGCCGTCTAGGCCTGCAGTTCAGTAGATCGAAACTTCGCAAGTTTGCGGGATCACCCAGATTAGCCAGCTTATTTCTCATGAGGATGGTGTGGAAGATATTGCATACAGAATTGAATGGACAAATGCTACTGAAGAAGGCCCATCTGTTGGCACCAAAAACCCAAGAGGAAAACAGAATCTTAGAGGAACTCCAGCCCCAAGCTAGCAACCCTGCCTAGTCATGGCCATCATCGCCAATCCTCGTTGTCCTGCTCACGTCGCTGCCAACGCCTCTGCTCTCTCCGAAGCATGCTCTAGAAGTCTCAATGATGATGATTCGTAGGAGCACATTGAGTGGTGGCGCCATGTGGAGGATGAGAGAAAGATGAGTAGAGGGAGGCATGTGTCATGTGTGCATGGACGACGATGGGGGCAAAGTTGTGGCGGGAGGAGGAGCGAAGGATGGGTCGTGGAGGGACGACGGGGG